TGGACACTATGCAGTTTTCGTTGGAGAGGTCCCTGGCACGTTCCTGCAATATTTGAGACATGTGTGTCCTGAGTGCAAGCAAGCTGCTGGCTCATCTCCATGTGCTTGTCACATCCTTTATGTCATTCATCGCAGCAGCAGTGGAACTGGGTTGCTTGCAGCATCTTCTAAGAGCAGGAGCATTGCTAAAGGCAGAAACAACATTGGGAATGTGATGCTGGACTCTCTTGATGACATCTTTGAGAGCAGCCGTGTTCGAATTAACAACTTCATGGATCACATCTGGACTCCATTCCCTACAGATGTGATTCTTCAAAATGCTTTGGATGCTTTCTTAAAAGACAGACGTTCAACTGATCTGCAACTTCCCTACAATGAAGAATACAATATTTTGCGGAATAACTGTGAACATTTTGCAACCCTGTGTCGTTATGGAAAGAAGAAGAGCAAGCAGGTAGAGAATACTGGGATGGTGGTCTCAGCTGCAGTCATCCTCTCAACTGTCTGTGGGGTTGTGGCAACAATGACCAGCAGCTATATTCACAGAAGTCCACGTGATGACTCATGATCCCCCTATCTCCATACTTTCTTTGCCTTTGGCTCTTTCCTTTCACCTGATGCTTCTTATTTTTAATTTTCCTTATTTTGGTCAGATACAAATACCTTTTAAAAGTACCACATGAAAATGAAAAAAGAAAACAAGAAGAAAAAGAAGAGAATAAAGAAAATTAGGAAGAACAAGAGAACAATGCCCATACTTGGGATGGATAAAGAGAAAATACTAGGAAACAAACAGGATAAAGGCAATAATATATTTCAGCTTCTCTCAAGGACCTTGAAGGTTTTTTCTTGGAGGCCAGGGTTAGATTATGTTTACTTTCAGAATTATGAGATAAGAAAGCTATATAATGATTGACCTTTAAGAGATGCAGTAGGTTATTTCAGTTTTTATTCTCTGCTACAGTGTCTGAATATTCAATTTAATATCAATTGAGCAATTTTCAAGAAGGCAAACATTATATACCCATGTAATGATATAGCTGTGATTCCCTTTTAGTCAATATTGATTTTTACTTTCAACTGCAACATCAAAGGTGCAAACTGAATCAAGACTTATATCACATGAACCATTTCTGATCTGAGCTCATTGAGGTCTCTTGCACCCATTTTGTCTAAGCATTTCTTCAATCCACAATCAGGGGCTGGTACCTTGGTTGGATTGGGTCTTGAATCTTCATTTTGTTTCTCAGCACTTGAGATCAGTACATCTGACTTGGAGTTTTAGAGCATGAAGTTATAATATACAAAAGAATATTTGGAGATTAATCATTTTTATTATACTCTATCACAGCACTAATTCTGACTGCTAATGTTCCTGACATAATCCACTTCCTGTGGGAGCTGCATCTTGATGTAGCTCAAGGGCATCAATTCCTTGCTTTTTGGCATCATAATAACAATTTGTGTGATTTATAAAATTTCAATGCTCCTCCAGTGACAGTAAATAGGCTATGATAACATATCCCTCTTATTTTTCTAGCTGTCCTCTGAGCACACAGCTATCAGAGTTATGCAAGGCTCTTGAGGCAAGGAGATGGGTAGACTGGTGTTTCCAACTCCATGCTGTCCTTGGAGAGCCTCTGCAAATCTTTTGTTTTTGTTCAGTCCTTCTTTGAGAATGCCTCAAGTCTGTGAAACATCCTCAGATGCAAGGAAAGCTGAGAGGAAGACACACCTGGAGCTGACTGCTGACCAATTCAGGGAACCAACCATGACACCAGCACAAATTGTACAAATGAAGCAGCTATCACCCACAGTGAAAACTATCCACTTGCAAGTTGAGAGGAAACAAGATTTCAGCTTCAAGGCTGGACAATGGTGAGAAATCACCATGTTGTATTGTAATTTGTTCTTTGAGTGACATTACTACTTAATTCATCAATACTATGACAGATACACTATTAATCTTACAGATCATAGACCTCTCCTTCAGTGACATATTCATAGATCATGATATCGTTTAAAGTAGGATGTATGGCAAACAGGACAGTGAAAAGTTTCCTAATAGAAATAAGAACTTATCTTAGTATTCACAAATGGGGGGGGGGAGGGGACATTCCAATTGGAAAGTTTTCCTTACCTTCTGCTTCTTGCTGGGGGTAGCCTATTGCCAGCTGTTTTCCTGGGCATGGTGCTTTTCTTTGCATGAGCTTTGGTCTGTAAGTTCAAATCAAATGGTTCTCTGGGTTCTCATTTCTCTGATAGATGGTTATTTCATTTCTAGCTTTGGAAATTGGGACTTTTACTGCACCTCTATTCCCAGCAAAATATCCATTTGATTGCCTTGGTAGGGTGGATTTCTTTGCTCCAGGAGTGGAGATGGTGGGAGGTTTCTCAATATGTTCCTCACCTTCTGAACTATGTCAGCATGGTACTTTCCTTCTTGCTGTTAAGGATTCACTGTGGCCGCCTGCTCTTTGGATTCATACCAAAGTAAGATTCCGCAAAGAAATTATGTTAACTTTTACATGCCGAATGTTTCCAAATTCAAACAGAACATGAAAGTGGAAAAATGCAAAACTTGCTACCTTGGAAAACAACATTTATGCATAAATTTTTTTTCATTTGCTATATTTGAAGACCATGGAAACCTTTTATTGGAGTGCAAAGGAAGATTCAATGCTCTTGGAATATGACAAAATTCAAAATTTTCTGCTGACATGTTCTTTTTGCATTTGGAAATGTTTGTGTGTAAAGGTTAAGATATTCAAGAACTTCAGAAACAAAGTTTATTGCTGAAGCATGTATTTTAGAATGCTTAAATCCTCAACCCCAAATGCTATTGCAATACAATGTTATAGCCCTGCTTTCAAATAAAATGTCCATCTCAGACACTAACACCATCGTATGATGAGTGACTGCATTTATCAACTGTCTTTATAGCAGTGTTGTCTGTCCTCATGTCTATAACAGGATGAATACTGCTTCATTTTCTTTCACCTGATGAACATCGAATTTGTTGCCTTTTTCCTGAAAGATACTATGAGAGACACTGAATGTTATTGTGCTTCTAAAATAAGAGCACGAGAAGAAAGGCAAATGAAGGAGAGTGTCGATTCTTCAGAAACCAAGAGATGTTCAGAATCAATCTTTTTGGATAATCAATAAAAAAATTTTCTCATAGTGACCTATTGGAAAATAACAGATTTTTTATTCAGTCTGTCACTTTTCTTTCTTTCTGGCTGCCCTGAGTTAGCATAGCAATCAATTGTTTAATTTTCTTTTTTTTCTTCTCCTGTTCCCCATGGAGTTTGATATGGTAGGAAAAGAAACTGATTTGTTCCATACATTTCCCCATCATACAAAATCTGTTATGACAAAGTTCCAAATGCACTATACTGCACTATGGCACTGTCCTTCAGTTTGCAACTCACTAAAAATTTATTTTTCACCCATTTCTTCTATCCATAATTCCCATAGCACCCATTTGTGCAAATGATAGCATGTACCAGGGATGGCCAGCTTCCTGACCTTATGAGCTATACAACAAAATCTTTATATGGCTGAGAGCCACAAGATGCACACCACTTTATAAATGCATTCACTCACACCAACTCTCCAATTTTACTTAGGTTTTGGAACTCATTAGCTGCCACTGCTCTTTACCCAGCATTTCACTGCAAACAACACTTGAACTGCCCAGGAGTCACATGCAGCTCACAAGTTGCGGTTTGGCCATCCCTGGTATAGACCTGTGTGTTATTGTTTCTTGAGAAGTAATGAAGCCTCACTGATGATATTTAAGTTGTAGCATATGGTCACAAAGTGGTGTCCATATTGACCAGTCAAATTGCAGATTTGAATCTTTACTGGTTTTCTTTTATTTTTGTTGGATAACTGAACATTTTGAATGTCAGACTGATGTTCAAAAAGTCAATGCTCTACTGTAGGAAAACTCTTAGCTGTCAGGTGATGCCACATTTTTTCTCTTTCAATCCATAATCTTCAGGGCAAGTTATTATTGACCTAACCAAGTTTCATTTCAGTGAGTTCATGATTTCGTTTTTTCTAAAGGCTAGAGTTGGGGATGTTGTTCATGTCCGAGTGGGTGGGTCATTCTTCTATGATCCTCCATCATTGTCTGAGGATTTACTTTTGATTGGTGGAGGTGTGGGAGTCAATCCTCTGGCATCCATTTTTCTTCATTGCCAAGATCTAGTCAAGAGATGTGGGAGTTCTTGGCCAAAACATTATGTACGACTGCTTCATTCTGCAAGCTCATGTCAAGAACTCATCTTCAAGGTTGAAACTGATTCCTGTTTGAGTGCCTCTCAATAACCCTAATATGTCTAAAATATATTGTTTTCTGCCCTATAGAATGACTTGTTGGCTGCTGCACAAGAATCTCATGAAGTTTTGTCATGCAAATTTTTTGTGACAAGGGAATTGCCACAGGATAGTGGAATGGGTGAGGGTTTCACTGATTTGTGATAGAAAATTGATCAATGATATTGTTTCAAGATGTATTGGGAATAATTCATAACTGCAATGTCATGCAATCATATTTTGCAGGTCATGGAAGAATAACAAAAGAGATCCTGGAAGAGGAGCTAGGCAGACATCCTTCAAGTTCCTTACAGGTGTACCTATGTGGACCTCTTCCCATGATAGATGAAATTGGTCAGATCCTTTCTATTTTGGGAATGCCGCAGAATCAGATACATTTTGAGAAGTGGTGGTAATTCTCTAAGTCATAAAAAATATATACCTCTGTTCATTTTTTTCTGGTACCTGTTTATTCATTAGCAGTTTATTTGCTCAGCATTAATGCAATATTGTAATACTATGAGATGAAACCTCACCTTGCCCATATGTTGATAGGGCATAGGTGGCACTGTATTCCACAAGAGGATATGTTAAAGGATTATAAGGAGTTTTTTAGTAGCAGCCAGCAGATACAAAAAAAAACATCTGATGCTCAGATTTTTCTATTAAATTTGTTTGCAGACATTGTTAGATCATCAACATGGGCTGGACTCCATATCAAGGCTTTTTAGCTGGGATGATGGTTGTGACTGGATCCATCAACACACTGTCAACAAAGTAAGTCCAGATTGACTGAGGAAGTTAGTATTGTCCTGCATGAGGTACACTTATGAATCATAATTGATTATCGAATTTTATAGATGGGCTGACAGGCTAAATTCCACAAATTCAGAGGGAAAAGAGGTTCCCTTCAAACACCCATTCCTACAAGCAAGTGGGATGTTCTTGGGAGAATTCACCTGTTTCATTGCCTTCCTCATCCAGCATTTCTATCATCGGAGGAGGCAGGTCAGCTGCAGAACATTTTATATCTTTTAACAACAATAGAATTTTTGCCCATGGTAGGAATTAAATAGCTTCATAAAATGCAGAGGGAGATAGGAGACCTGATCCCAATGAACACACGCCTCATCAACTTCAACCCACTCATCTTCCTGGTCCCAGCCTTGTGTGATATGACAGCCACATCTACTATGTACATTGGGCTCACACTTACATTTGCTGCCTCTTTCCAGATGTTTCGGGGTAAGAAAGCTTGTGATGCTCTTTATCCATTTATTACTTGCTCCCATGCACCTTACCTATCATGAAGCTTGTTTTTTTAGACACACCTTGAAAGAGTGCAGATATCCAAGCTAATTACACACATGTTGTACTCTGTGATTTATAGACTTTGGAGACTTCCATCATGAGAATGAATGGAAAGTGTCTGCATGACAGTAATTTTGTGCATATCACTGATTTTCTGTTTGTCATACTTCAGAGTTCTGATGCCGATGTGTGTGTCTCAACTGAAAAAAACTTTTCATTTTATGCATATTTTCTGAATATTTTTCAGGAGCCTGTTAATAATGTCTAAAGGTTTCGTGGATATTGAATTCAATATGATTCAGCATCATTGACAGAGCCTTAGAAGTTTGTCCTGGCATGTCTTATTTTGTCATTTTGAAATTTTCCTTGGGCACAGGAGCTGTGATAATCTTTACTGGCCTGCTATCAGTGGCCTTCCTTGGCCGAATCCTCAAGTCAAGGGAGTGGATAGGGATTTTCTCTGTCATCCTTGGCCTTGTGATTGTTGGACTCACTGATACATTCTTCTCCAAAGAGGTCACTGGTCGTCGGAATGACATCATTACTGGTCTGCTTTACTCTTCATTCTCCTTTATAATTGATCTCTTGTTGAAACCTTGAGTTGATAATATTTTAAATATTTATTGAATTTTTTTTTCCCTCAGGTGATCTGCTGATTTTAACAGCTCAAGTGATCACAGCAATTCAGATGGTTTATGAAGAGAAGTTTATATCCAAGTACAATGTTCCTCCACTCCTAGCTGTTGGGCTTGAAGGTAATTAGACAGTTTCTTGCTTCTATCCATGCTAAGAAGGGAAGGAATGTCATATTATACCGTATTTACTCGCGTATAAGGCGCTTTTTTTCATATTTTATTGTGTTCCATGAGGGGGTGCGTCTTATACTCGAGGAAAAAAATTCTCTTTTTCGAGAAAAACATTTTTCAGCGTACCTATAACTCATTGGTCACTGATTTGAGGCGGAAACTGTCTGCAGTCAGTCAGAACAGGAGAAATAAATAATTATAAAACATTAAATAGGGAGTGGCTACGTCGATTCATGACTTCATTCGGTATCGGAATCGGAATTTTGGACTTCATTCGATATCGGAATCGAAATCTGAGGTGTCTGGCAGCGTGGAAAATTGATTCGCGGAGCTCACATCCTCCTCTGAGGGGCCGTTCCAGAGACAATAATTTCTCATGGAAAGCTGCTGACGTTTTCCGACGAACAGAAAATCCAGCTTGCTTATGAATCGCGTCGTTCAACCTCATGATGCATTGAATTTTTCTTTTTTTTCCCAAACCATTGATGCCATGTTATCCTCAGAATGTTTCATCTTTACCTTTGAAATTCATGTAATGTCTCATCAGGCACAATTGTGAGCATTGCCTTCTTCAACTTTGCTGGTGTGCGCCTTATATTCGGGGAATCTTTTTTTTTTACACAAAATGGGACCTCAAAAGCGGGGGGTGCGTCTTATACACGGTGGCGCACTATACTGGAGTAAATACGGTATATGGTGACATAGGAAGGTGTGCATATGATTCCTTGGCATGTGAAATAGATTTTTTGTCCATGAGCCTAAATGCAGATGCCATTCCTCCTGCTTCCATATCAACAGAATGTTTGCAAAATTTTTCCATAAAATATTTTACAGAACTGGATCATGGGAAGAACCAGTCTGCCTATAGTGATAATTGTCTTTAACTCCCTTGGAGTTAAAGACAATTAGGCACTTAATCCCTTCAGCAGAAGGAGTATACAGAGTGTATATAACTTAAATACCTCATGCTGCTGAAAATTGAGGTTTTTTTGAGTAAAATTAAGTGGGAAAATGAAACGCCAAGGTTGTTATGGCAGGGGGGAGCCTTTTTCATCCAATGGCATTCTCATAAGCATTTATCCAGAAAAAAAAAGAAGAAAATGCATCTTGTTGGAACAGAATGGAAGGATGGACTCTCAACAGAGCAAGGCAAATGTTCCTTTCTTGAGGAATTTGGGATAGGGAAGGTAAAGCAATAGTGCATGAGGAGTAATATGTCCCTTGCCCCCCCATTCACTCATCCAATTACCACCCTGTTTTTGCAAGTAGAATTATTGCAAGTTCTTTTAAAGAGATTTGTTATGGTTTGATTGTCATATTGCATATTGGAGATTGTCATTGACCATAGAAACATGTACCCTATGGTCTCAAAGGTGTGTCCACCAAATATTGTTGCTCTAAGATTAATAGTATTCAAGATACATGTGTTTGAACATGCCAGTAGACTTTATAAAAACCCTGTATAATTTAAAATTGTCAAAATAGGATATCCTGAGGATCAATAGTTTGCTGAGATGTGAACATGGTATTTTTTACCCTATGAACTCTTTTTGTGCTGTATTACAGGTTCAGAGAAAAATATAAAAAATGCAGAGCTCATTGGAATATAGTTACATACTTTTTGAGACCAGATTTTATGGTTCAGTGTACTACTCCCCTTCCTCGCTTTGTCTTCCAGGAGAATTAAGGATAAGGATTCCCTTATTGGAATGTAGCCTCTCAGACCTTCAATGACTAAAACTAACCTTGAGTTTGGAGAGGGAAAAACAAATTGGTGAACTTTTTTGTAATATGAACTTCTTCATGGATCACCTAGACCATCACTATGCCAGACCATAATTCCTCTTGAAGGTATTAACAATATCAATGAAAAACCGTATAGCCATATCCCAATGCCTTTTTTGCACTTCCTACCTAGGTTTCTTTGGGTTTGTGGTTTTGGGTGTACTCCTGGTCCCCATGTATCACATCAAAGTGGGACCTCCTTTTTCTGGGAATCCTCGAGGAACCCTTGAGGATGCTCTTGATGGCTTGACACAACTGGGAAACAATACTTTCCTCCTCCTTGCTTTCTGTGGTTTGTCCCTTTTTTTTCCCAAACCATTGATGCCATGTTATCCTCAGAATGTTTCATCTTTACCTTTGAAATTCATGTAATGTCTCATCAGGCACAATTGTGAGCATTGCCTTCTTCAACTTTGCTGGTGTGAGCGTGACAAAAGAGATTTCAGCAACAACAAGAACAGTCTTGGACAGTGTGAGAACTCTGGTCATCTGGGTGGTGAGCTTGGCTCTCAGCTGGCAGGGATTCTTCTGGCCTCAGGTATTTCAACTTCTCATATAATATGAACTTAAATAGTGCATGAAAATTCTTGAAAATATGCTTTGATCTTTTATAGGTCTTGGGTTTCCTGGTCTTGGTGTTTGGGATGTGTCTGTACAACAACGTGATTGTGGTGCCTCTACTTCGCAAATGGGGCTGCATGAAACCTGATGAACCTGATACAGAACACCTCATTGCACAACGTTCCACCCTTTACTCCGACTCTGGACCTGAATGATAGCCATGAACATGTGTATGCAAATCTTGTTATTTATATGTAAGTATTGCATAACATCAGTTACCTTTCCTACCATACTTGAGTTTCTTTTGTTATTTTGACAGTAAGTAGTTGATGTGACCTGCAGTATCTCAAACTTATTTGCTCATTATACTTCTTCCTGTGATTGCATAATGACATCTTTGTGTATGATTCACTGGAAGAAAGTCTTGTTCTTTAGTCATTTCCTTTAATGTGTAGTTTCCAGCTTCCTAACTTTTCAGAGTTACTATTACACTATCTCTTGCAAGTGCTCTTGTGATGCAGATCTATCTGAAGTTACCTGCTTGTCTTGCTTACTCCCAATACTCAAGTTAGTTTTATAAATAATGTAAGTTTTCATTGTGGTTTTACCTTCTGGAGGAAGAAGCATGAGAGGTTGTGCCATCTGTGAAAGGTATGAATGGTGTAGATATGTACTTGCTGAACACATTTTCTACTGATTCCCTCCAGGGTTCCTTAACGATCTCAGAATGCCACAGTCATATAACTTTTGTTTGTGTTTGTTTTACTCTAATATTCACTGGACGGTTCTTGCACAGTTACCCCCAGGCCCATTTTAATGGTCAAACATTTTCAAGTATATCATTCTATCAGTTTTTCTGCTTCACTCAAACATCCAGAGTGCATTCCAATTGTACAACTGTCTGCATGTTCTTCCATTGATATTCCCTGGAGCTCAGAGCACTTCAAAGAAGTTGTATTGAGCTTATAGCATGTCCATAAAGTTACAATACAGAGTCAAAACTTCCATCTCCTGCTGCACTTGAGGTAAATAAAATAAAACACATCATGTGGTTAATATATGATATGAAGAGTTGACATATTTTGATGACATAACTCAAGCCCCTATAATTCTGATGCTAGATGCAACAAAAATTAGAAAGTCATGAAAACATACTTTACTGTCCTTTTCAGATAGTATGACGTTATTTTTGAAAGAATGAGTCAAAGTGGCTCAGTGGATTATAGTATTTCAAAGTCCAGTTGTGGTGCACCAATAATTGAGAAGGCATTTCTGAAAATTACACTCTGGGAAATAAATTTTTCTTGTTTTTTTGCTGACAATAAGTTTCTTGAGTTGCTTATTTTCTAGAATTTTTCATTTTATTTTTCAGTGCACCTAGTAGATTTGATGTGTGAACTATATTTAAAAATCTTAGAAGCATACCTGAAGCACCTGTTGAGTTTTGTTCATTTATCTCATATAGTGTAAGAGGGTTAAGCTTTTGAAACTATATTGGAACTTTATGGATGCCCTGTACTTTACCCGATGTTCCACGTTGTTTCTCCATTGAAATTCAACTTATAATTTGTTTGCATTGCTTGATTTTGTCAGAGGGGAACTGTTTATATTCTCTTGTCTTTTTGTATATTTTTGTATCTTCTGTGATATGCTTTTTGCTCTTTGTGCAAGTGAAAAAATGCATGATACAATTCCCTGTGGATCTTGTCTCGTTAGTCCATCTGAAAGACTCGAACTTTATCATGATCCCTTTCTCCCTCATCATAAAGCAATACGAAGATGCTGATGTTAGGAGTTGCAGCTAAGAGTGACATGTTGAAATGCTGAGTGAATCTGCTTCTGTCATGGGTTGAAAGCATTGAAGTACTTGTTCATATTCCTACCATCTTGTGTTTCTTACTAATCTGGCGTGCCTGAGGCCTGCAGCATGGCCGTATTCGCCTTGGACCAGTCCTTCTCGACTATTTTTACCCCTCATAGCCTGTATACAGTAGCAGGCAGAAAAGATGGGTTCACGTGTCTCCTCCTGGCGGAAGTTCAAAAGTGCCTGATTCGTTCCTCATCCCTGCTCTCCTCAGAGATGGAACCGATGAACTTCGTTGCTCACACATGTGAGGAAAATATCTCTGCATGACGGTCAGGTTGACCTCGATGAATTATTCATTGAGAAGGACTTAACCAAACGTTTCACATCTTTGCTGATAAGCAAGCAATGAATATACGGATTTCAAGTCTTCCTACCCCTGCCTCTTCCCCTTCTTTTACAGTGAAAGTTTGGAAATTTCAGTAGAGTCTCTCTCGGACGATAGAAAGGCCAAGGGTGTCTAGTAACTTCTACTGTTTCCTCGGCGAATTCGAAATCACTTCATATATATTCGGGTTGATTTCCTACCTTCTCGTGATGGCGTCATACTTTTTCTTTTCAAGCCAATTGATTTCTATAAGCAAGTTCGCACGGGAGGACGAATCGACTCGAACCACAGACAATTGTAAAAAAAAAAAAAAAAAAAAAACTCTGAATGCTTTCCTGTAAGGATCGTTGCAAACGTAGAAAAGAAAGGAACGAAATACCGATACTCCTTCCAGCTTGAAAATTAAGCGAATGCTTAATTTTCCATTTCCCATTCCTCGAATTTATTACACTTTACCCCCAACCCTGGCCATGTCTTTCGTTGAATAAAAAAATCCCAGTAAATCCAAGGGTGCTTCACATGAATCCAAGCTTTCACATGAGCTTCGTTTAGAACAGGGGTGTCAATCATACGGCCCGCAGGCCGGATCCGGCCGCGGAGGTGGTTCATCTGGCCCGCCGTCGGTTCGTGAAATTTCCGCTTGAATTGACTTTCAGCACAAATTTCAATGAAAAATTATGGGTGTGGCCCGCAGACATCTGCAGAGTAAGTAATGCGGCCCGCCGACCGATTTGAGTTTGACACCTGGTTTAGAATATGAGGGATTCTGAAGTTCGCTATTCCGGGAAAGCTCAATACTATAGAGCCATTAATCCTGGGAAATTTTGGTCCGACTGCATCTCAGTCCCAGGACGCCGCTTTCCTCACCAATAAAATAAATCACCTTCAGACGTCACGACTATGGTTCATATGAGCCTTCAGATTTGTTCTCTTTCCGTCAATTGTTTTATATTTAATTTGATGAAGTCACGCAACGCGTGGTCGAGTTTATAAACCATGAAGTAATCGTACATCGCACGCTTAGCCATTTCAATTTTTATTTCATTAAAATGAGGCCATGACGGAGAGAAGCTAGAGACAGAAGTCCGGAGAGTAATGCCAAAACGTTCAAGCTGTGAAACTTGAAAATTCCATTCTGCTTCTTGCCGATTGTGAGTTTGACACAGATTCGTGTAGATCATTCCGAATTCGTGCGCTATCAGATTTATGCTCCCTCCGGCATGCCTCAAGGGATCTTTGTGGAATCGAAAAGGGTCACTCGAAAGGCCACGTGACCCAAGTATTGCGCACAATACACGAGATCGAATGCAAGGGCAGTGGAGCGGGGCAGGGGAGCGCCGTGCGATGAAACACGTTCTGCCTAGGGGCTCCTCAAGCTTAAACTCGTCTCTCACTCTGAACAAAGCTGAGCACCGAGCAGCCCATTGATTAGGAATTAGAGTAGGAGGACATCCGCCGGGCCGACAGCTTCATGACTGCATCGGTAGGAAAGATGAAACGAAAGGGAGACTCCTGGCGACCCTGGGCAAAGATTAGGACTATATATAGCCCTGGAACGAATGCATCGTGCGAGAGAGAAGCAGTTTCACTCTTGCAGGCCATATCTCACAATGTCATACCACCACCGTGTTCGCATTGTCAAGGACTTAGGGCCTCTTACACGGAAATTGGTCGAGTCTTGGTCCAGCGACGAGCCTCCTTCGAGGGTATTGTCAAAACGTTACAGGCGAAATGACGAGAAAAGGGGAAGAAAAGAGATGAGAGTGTCCAGAGCTTCCTTTGGAAACCTTTGCAGTCTGGAGCTGGTGTCACCATCCCTCTTTTAGGACATATAAATGTCAAATTTCGTTTTCATTTTTTTTTTAAAGAAAAATGTTCACTGATGGAATGATCTTATAACCAATTATATCAAATTGATCAAATTTGTATGTACCAGGAAAGTTTTAATTTTGAAGAAGTTATATTCCCCCAAACGTTGACAGGAAGACCAGCAGAAGCTGTAATTCCGTTAAAATCGTAATAGTTCGCAGCGATATAACTACCTCGAACCCTGTTGAACTGTACACGAACCTGTGCGTTCATTACCATGCGCAGTTTCAAACGCTCAAATTAATTTTCAGCACTTTCCCCTTCCTTTTAAAGATATACGAAGATACATCGCTGTCCCTCTGCCGTCGCCATTTGCAGCATAAACGTTTGAGACCTGCTGCACCCCCTCACATCACATGTTCACTTTCTATATCACTTTCTCTATGGTAGACGTGAAAGAATGCGTGTACCGAGACTCATGTGCTTAGGATCATTGGCGTATTTATGGGGGGCAGGGGGGCGCCCCCCTCCCCTCTCCCGGCAGCCCCTTGAAATTGTCTAGCTCTCTGTGGAATTATTTTTCGCCCGTGGTAATATTCACTCAGCACCCCACCACCGACCTTGACAGCCTCCTTTCCTGTTTCACTGACCTCCCCCCTTTGGTTCGTGAGCCAAAATACGCCACTGCTTATGATTAAAAGGACCGGAGGATAAATCTGGTTTCTTTCGGAACATCGCTCGTACAAAACGATTCCGGCTTAGGTCACCTAGCTTTCCAATCTCATGCGCGTCTCACCTTCCTCCCTCCTACCCCATCTCTCCCTTCCTGCCCTCGAAATTGCGTAAATGGGTGAGAGAGGGAAGGGCACCAGTCTGTCTCGGGTAGCTTGAGACCTTTTTCCGGCACTGGCGGCAGCTGACGAAACCTTCGCCCCAAAGCATGGGGCTCACGTTTGGCGATTTTGCGGTGCATACTGTCGCTGTGCCAGGCGTTCCTGTACTAATCCATGATTATCCTCGATCGGTTTAATCTCGCGCTAACGTCTTGGAAAGTGAATCCAGGCACGCCGGCAAGAGACCGAAAAGGAATTGCAGCCGGCTAGGGTAAGTTCTGCTCACCAGAAAGTAGCGAAAAGTAAAGTTGCCAGAAATAATTTCGAGTGCTGCCTCACCATCGCCTTATCGAACGTGACGCCGATTTGCTTCCTGTCTGTTGACTGACATAGGCGGTGAGAGGTTAGAAAGTGCAAGGTTCGTGGTTTAGGTTGGGACGTCGAGAGGCATAGGAATTCACAGTCGTGGTCGAACCTTCATTTAACATCTGCCTACACCGCTTAAG